TGACTTAGCTCAATCTTCCCTTTCTGAATGCTTGTTGACTTTTCAAACCCTTGTTCATGTGCTTGTTCCCTTGTCCACTGTTTCCCTTTAAAGAAAGCCATACTGTGTGACTGTTTTTTCTCCACTATGTTGTGCTTATACGTGTACCCGCTACTTCTCTTCGTTTACCGGATCTGTCATGAATACCTGCTCACTGGTTGACTGAGCCAAAGACCAGTAGGTTGCAAAACTTTTATTTTACACAAGTAATATTGATTCTATATCAGTATGACTTTTAGTTTTGTGCCCTGTAATTCTGTTCCTCAGGTGAATATCTACTGTACTGCCTTGGACTTCAGAGTTTAGTGATAAGTAGTTTCTGTTTTAGAAACTTGTATCGCGTAAGCCATCTTCTAATTTTCTAGTACAAAGTGAACTCTAAATGAGAGCTTAAATAACGTACTGATTGATATAGTTCAAAAAGTGGGCTTTAGAAAGCTGTTAATACTTTCTAAACGTGATGGTTTGTTACTGCTTGTTTTGTTGATCTGTTCTATGATACTTTCAACTGATGGTTAAGTGCAGAAATCTCTTGAAGATTTCTCTAGTGCAAATATAAGTAAAAAAGAAAACACCAGAGGGTATGTTTTCACTGCATTATTTTAGGTGGTGGTTCTACATAAACTAATCGACTTAGGGCCATAGACTCTCACGTATGCCTTTTTCATGAGCAGAGCAAGAGTAATTACTTTATACACCATTCATGAGTTGTTCTTCAAACTTTATTTTTTGGCTTGCCATGTTGTATTGTGATTAACAGACGTCACAATCAATTTTATTTTTCTCATCTGTATGTGACCAGCTTTTTGAAAAATGCTTTACTATGTCTCATATCCTTCTTGTTTTGATTATCTTAAAATATTTTGTATACGTAGTCTTTTTAGCCTGTGATGATGTGTTTATCCAATATGTTGCTTTCTAGAAGGATTTTATTAACTGCTTTTTGTACTTGTTTTAACAAATACCTCAGTGTTCCCTAATTGCCATGCTGAAACAATTGCAAGTCTTAGATTTTTTTTTTTATTTTTTTTCTTTTGTCTTCCCTTGCTTCTGCAAGGATGCTGAAACCAAGTCAACTGAGGTTCTTGACAGTATCTTGGTAAATCTGTTCCTATGTGCTGCTGAGAACTAGGTGAAGAGTTGCTTTCTCTCTTGTGGCTTCCTGGATTAGCCACTCCATGGCACTCACTACTTAGCATATGAAAATATAGCTCAGGTATCACCTCCTGGATTACAGCTTGGGCTAATTGAAACCTGTTAGAATTGCTGCATTTTCTGCCTCTCGGATCTCCTGTAATGTCCCAGTTTTCCTTTGTAGCTGATGGTCAATAATCACTGTGTAAATCAATGTTGTTTCTGTGTTCTGAATACTGCTTGCAGTTCTCTTAACCCATTTTAAAACATCTAGAGCCTGGAAAAATTGTGTAAGCAAAAGGTGACAAAGATAAGCAGAGCAGCAGAATAATTTCTGACCAGGAGCAAATCTGGAAGAGAGATGAGAAGAAACCTGCGGTCTCATAAGTCATGAGTCCAAACAAAGACATTTGTTCAGGAAGCAAATATGCAGCACTTCTCACAACACAAAAGCTAAAGGCATGAAATGAAATTATCAAGCAGTAGGTCTTAATCCACCAGTTGTGCTTGTATGATGCTCTCTGATGTTGTGGAAACCAAAAGCTAAAGAGATTTACAAAAGGATTAGACAAATTAACAGTATTTGGTGACTACTGGGTTTTGATGCCTGGAAGCAATTTTTGGCTCAGGATTTTTTTTTTATTTTTATTTTTTTTTTTTTAAATTTTCAGAAGCTGGGAGTATATGTGAATGAAGAATCATTGTATGTTTGCCTCGTTCTCTGTACTTGTTCCCTTCACCATTTGCTACCAGCTGCTCTTCTTACTGCCTTACACTGGAAGGATTGGCATAGGCTTCAAAGATGAGTTTGTATCTTTGTCTCCTGGTCCCCACATCTGAGAATGGGTTGTGGTAACCCAAGCAAAATTATGAGAAACAACAAATGAAGGAAGGAATTTGAATTGATAGATTCTACTGATAGAAGATGGCAAAAAATGGAAGACATAGTCAGACAGGTTATCTCTTGCCTCCAGTATTCTTTGGGAGTGTTCAAGGACAGGTAGACAGTGTCTGGTGGCACTCTGCTCAGAAGTATGATGAGACAAAGAACCAGAGACAGGCTTCACAGTTGCCAGGTACATTTGTTCAACTTCTGTTGTTGCTGTGGATACTGGCTGTTGTTCCCATTGACTTTTTTTTTTATTATTATTTTGTCCAGAAGGGGTATGTGAGGCTTATCCCAGGAGGTCCTGCTTTAGTTTAGCAGCATCTTTTTAAGAATGGCTGGAAGTGTCACTGTACTAGAGACCAAACTGAGTAGCAAATGTAAAGTAATTAAAAAAGGGAGTGGGCAGAAGAGTGTCTGTAGAGTCAAAACAAAGCAAAATCATATGTGTACACAGAACAGAGGCACTTTTGGGACTGTACTTCTCTGGAGATTTTCAGAGTCAGTAGACTAAGTTAAGACTAAGTTACGTTCCTTCCACCAGAACAGAGTTTGAGGGGTGATGGTTTCAGGGAACAGAAACGCTTTCCAGAATTTCGGTGCTGGGGTAGAAGGGTGCTTCTGGCAAGGTTGGCTTTTTGTGGGGTTTTAGGGGTTTTGTGTCTGTGGTGGTGTTTGGTTTTTGTGGTTTTTTTTTTTGTTGTTGTTGTTTTGTTTTTGTGTTGTGTTTTTTTTTTTTTTCCCCCCCCCCCCGAATTGAAGGTGTTACAGCTCCCAGCTGTCTGCTGCCTCCCTGTGCTGGAATCTGCAGTGTGTCCTTATGTCTCAGTTTTTTCTGTCTGCTTAGTACATTAGCTTAAAATTCTAGTGGAAGTGCTTTTTGACTAACACTTTGGATTGTGAATTGGACCTGTGTGTTTCCTTCTCATGTTTGTTACTGGAGTAAGAGCAGAGAAGAGGTTAACATGCTGCAGTAGAAAAATACATACTAAGCTACCACAACTGGTTATGCCATGAATGAATCTGTCCTTTCTAATTAAGAAGCACAATCTCTGGTTATCTTTTTACCAACAGGTTCTGAAATGACTTTCATCATGCAATTTGTCATGCAATTTTTAGTTCCATCTAGCTATATTCTCTACACAGGAATTGTATTAAGTGTTCATTCTCTGTTCAGAATATTGTTGTTTTGGTGGTGTTAAACTCTGTATTGTCTGTAATGCCTCAAAAGCATAAATTATTTTCTGCCTGTTGTATCACACCAGCAACACCTTTTTGTGACAGTATTCGCAAAAACCTAGGGAAAAAGGCTTTCTTCCTTTGTACCTTGACGTGCAATTCCAGTTTATGCCCTGGAATACTGGGAAGGGATTTGTCCTTGTGTCCTGCACTGTGATTTAGTGTGTCTCTCTGAACCTGCAGTGATACAGCCCCAAATTCCTGGTAGATGTCCTAGGGCAAGGATTTTAGCATATTTAAGAGTTGAAGGGCAGATCGTCTAAAGAAGGGCCAGCATTAGAGAAGGAGTGTTGCAGGTGTAGTACCTGATGGTGCAGAATCAGTGCTTGACCTTTGGGCAATTGTATTTTATATTGCAATTTGCAAATACTGTAGTTTCACTCAAGGATCATCCATAATAAAAGGCTTTACAGACTTAAAGTCTCCAATTTTTTTTCTTGGCATTGTAGAGTGCTGTATGAAAGAGTTTAGAATAGTTATGGTAGACTTCTTTGTAGAACTTCCTAAATTTTGTAACTGATAACGTAGAGTTGTGTTGGCTTGTGCTGTAGACAGCCTCTGGCTATCAGCTATGGAGAAGAAACAAAACAAGTCGAATAAAACTTGAAAGAATTAATTCTATAAACAAAAGAAGTAAGATTGCATGGATAGACAGCCAAGTTGTTTCTGGTATGTGGTATGCTTGTAAACTAAGGCTTCTCAGCCCTCATACTGTCATTTTAGTTAATTTCAGAAGTTTTATGAGAATATAGTCTATCAGGAACTTAATTATATCCTGACTGCTTTTAATCAGTCTTTTTGAAGACCAGATGGTTGAGTCTGTCATTGGTGCCACTCCGATGTTGAAATAGGCGCTCCTAGAAATAGCACAGTTTGCTTTCTTGTTTCTACATTTTACACTTTCTTAGGAAATTTCTCTTCCTAAAGTTGGTACATTCTGCTTTTGGCTCTTCTCACCCCTTATTGCTCTGTTTCTGAATTTACATTATTAATACTTGTTCTGGTATTCTTTCATAGAAGCAATAGCAGCAATCTTATATGGTCTTGACATTTTAGCTATCTGATATACCTTTCAAATAGTCTTGCATTCTAAAAAAAATGAAGGTCTGGAAGACTTTGAGGTGCCTTGCTGCAGTGTGAATGGCTGATTATGTAATATATTGAGCTGGGACAGGGAGAGGTCTGTAGATCCTTGTCCTCTGAGGTAGGGGACAGGACTGCTCATCTGAGCAGTTCACATTTCTGTAGTTCATCTAGTTTCAGATTCTTTTTAGCTTTGTAGTGCAAGAGCAGCAGAGTCAAATGGGGCTTGGGACCTGTATTCCACAAAAGAAGTCTTTAAGTGTTTAAAAAAATCTCCCAAAGCAGCAGTATTGGAAACGAAGGCAAATAATTTAAGATGGGATTGTAGGGTGTACTGATCTGCTTCAGTTTATCTCTTTGGAAGACTTGCACGCTTCAAATGTAGTATGTTTTGTTATGTCCTACTGGGAATAAAAAGTAAATCTTGTCTTTGAGACTAGATCGCATCTAATTGTAGGTGCATATTAATTGGAAATGTTCAATATAGAACATTCTTAACAGAAATCATATCATACACCCTTTTTTCAAAGAAAGCTATGTGAAACCTAGTGCTGTGTTTCAGTTCTTTGATAGTTAGTCTTTGGGGTGTTCTTATATCTGAATGCTTTTTTCTCCTTAGGTGAGTGGAATCAAGAGTCTCTACGAGTCTGAACTGGCTGATGCTCGAAGAGTTCTGGATGAAACTGCCAAAGAGAGGGCTAGGTTACAGATTGAAATAGGAAAACTGAGAGCGGAACTTGAGGAGTTCAATAAAAGGTAAGGGAAGTTCTCCATGACACTTTTTTTTTTTTTTTTTTTTTTAAATCAGAATGGGCAATGGGAATGATACTACTGATGCTTCTTAAAAATGCATTTTGGAAGCATTGAGGTCAATGAGAAGATACAGGCTTGTCAGAGGGAAATTCCTCAGCTTTCTGGTACAGCTAGTCAGAGCAGATAATCTGACCAGTATATACACAAATGTTTTTGTACATATAATATTAATATACTGTGATTTGAGCAATTCAGACATCTAAAGGCTGAAACAATTGGTTGTGCCTGCTTCTGTCCTGTTGTACCTCTCCTTATGTGAGCATGCACATGTGCAGCTGGTTGGTCAACTAGATTGAGAAACTGATTTAGATTAGAGTTGACCCATCCAAGGAAGGTTAGTTTTTAAACATTATCAGTTTTACCGTCTGGTTCACTGTGTTGAATGATGGCAGAAATAAAGGAAAATGAAAAGGGTGGCCCTGAGCAATTTGGGAATATGGAAGCCCTGTTGCCTTGAAAACACATGAAGCTACAATGTAAGTGTGCTGGAAAAAAAAACTTGTATCAACTATGTTTTTAAAACTGCTGTTCAGTCTGCATCAAAGAGAATTGGCCTAATAAACTGGCTACTGAAGCCAAGTGTAATTCATTATTTCTATTCCCACTAGGGAGTTTTTGTAATCAAACACAGTTGAAACTTCATTTAAAAATTAATATATGTGGTGGCAAAATTATTTTATTGCTTCTGATTGAATTTTGGTACCTATTTTAGTAGATAAGATTTGGGAGTTACAGATTTTTGCTGAGCCTGTCAGTATGTACATCACCTGTATATGAACAGTATTGGCCACAAAATTACTTCTAATCCAGCAGTGCGAGTAGAGGCCTACTGTAAGTCTCGCATCTCCCTTCATTTGCATCTAAGTGGTTATAAAAGGAATGAAGTGTTTCTCTCCCTCGTGGTTTTTTTTTCTGACTAGCTAGTTGATTTATGATGAAGTATTTCTTGTTTTCTCTGTAAACTTTGCTTAAGGATGCCAGCACAATCTGGCCAGGAGGGATCCCAGACATTGCTACTTCATTGTTTGCTTGGAATAGGTTGGGTTGCTGGGACAGGAGATGTTCTTGAGACATCTCTCCTCTAGTCTCCCGTGTGAGAAGAAAAGGGATAGTTGGAGTAGGCAGAGTAGAAGAAAACATTAGCTTGAAAGGATATCTGGGAAATGTTTCCTCAGTATTAGACTGAACTGAATTTTAGTTGCTGAGCCACAGGCTAGCAGCGCTTTTCTAGCTATAGGATCCGAATATAGCTAACCTACTGCTTCAAGAGTTGACTTCCCCTTTCTTTTTTCTCCTAAAGCCTGGGTTTGTGACCATGGAAAGCCCTGAAGGCACTGACTATGCTCCAGGGAGGCCACAGGGTGTGGTTGGGTCTGGTGACATCAGGCCTAGTTTGCGTCCAAACGAGCCTGAGGCTTACCCTGCTCTTAGTTTGTTCCTGAGGCTGTCTACTTGCACAACTCCAATGGATTTGGGAAGCAGCTGACCAACCTGCAGCAAGACCCTTGGTTGGTACACAAGGATTTGTGATGGGGCCTATGGTTTAGGAAAGAATGTGGTTTGTCTACCAGGGTACTGGACTTCAGAGCAAGCACTTATGCTTAGGTCTTTCTGCAACTTATTCAGATACTGACAAATGATACTACCCCGGTATTCTGTGTGAGTACAAATTCAACTCTTGGGGTTTGGATGCCCTGGCACATATTTTTGTTATGTTGGATTTTTTTAACTTACTTACCATGTTAATGATGTTCTAACATTTTCTGGTTTTTTCAGTGCTTGGGATAATTGGACATCATCTTGCCTAGTAAGTCAACAAGAAGCATCCCAAGGCATTTTCTAAAGCAGTTTGTATTAGCTTGGACCAAAGGTCCATCTAGCCTGGTAATCTATCCAGAGGCTTCTAGAGAAGAGGATAAGAACAGAGCATGCATAACAACGCTTCTCTGGAATACTCTTCCAGTCCTCAGCAATTCCCTTCAGCTAAGGGACTTCCGCAGGTCCAGCTGGATGCTGTGTAGTAAGCCTTCATGGGTTTTCATTTCATAGTGTGACCAGTATCCCGAGACCATCTGTAGTGTTCTTAGACTTAGCAAGGGGATTCTGAGCTTACCTACACTTTGCATGAAGAAAAACATGTTTTTGAATGTCCCAGCCCAGTTCTGTTTGTTCATTTGTCTCCTAATTTTTGTATTCTCCTTCTTCATATCTCCTAAGATTTTCTGTTTAATGATGTCCTTTTTCAAGTGGAAACATCTTAGTTGCTGCTTCTACAGAAGCTGCTCTGTGCCTTCAGTCAACACTTTACCTCCCTTCTCTGTTATTTTTCCCATTTTCGTGTATCCTCTTGGGGACAAAGGCTGCAGAATTGGAACTTCAGCCAGTATTCAAGATGTGGTTGTACAGTAACAGTGTTCAATGTCTCGTTCTGTATTTTATTTAATAGTAATTTCTTAAATACAGTTGCATTTTGAGTGCTCCTGAGCTGCTGATGTGTGAAGAAGGGTAAGCTCCAGGTAGTCTTTTACATCAGACTCGGAGATGTCTCCCAAGGCCCCTCTGGGCTGCATGGATGCTACAGAACCTAGAGTGTTTTGTGGTAACCAGATCTGCCACGGCCTTTGAGGGCCTTACCTCGCCTCTGCCCAAAAAGAGCCCTGCTATGAAGGGTTCTTACTCCTGCTTACCCCCGTTACCTTCTCTTTACAAAAGCCAAACTGACTCTGAATCTCCAAATTCTTTTGTGTTTATGCATATGCCCACTACTTCTCTTCATTGATGCCTTTGTCTAATTCTACCCATACAACTATCAGGGTCTGAGTTTCTCCATTTGAAAAATTGGTATTTCATTTGTCATTTTCCTTCTTTTAACATACTGTTATTCTGGTCAGGTCCTGCTGAAGCTCCCTTATCTCCAGGCTGGTCAGACTTGGTTCTGTCAGCCTCTTTTAACAGGGCATGTACTCCAACTCTCTGACCACCCTGGTGGTCTCTGCTGAACTTGCTCCAATTTATCAATGTCTTTATTGCTTTCCTAAAATTCAGGATCCTGTTTTTACTCTACTCTTCACCTG